GTTATTCTTTGATCTCATGCACACAAGTGCATCCACATACACCACAGGAAAAGAGACTAATTCTAATAGCTAGGCGTGGTGATGCACACCTTTAATCCCTAACACTAGGAGGCAAAGGCAGAGAGTTCAAGACCAGCCAGGCAGATCTACATAGCAAGTACTTGTCTCAAAATAAAAAGTAAAAATATGATTCATGTATATGTCTGTGTGTACAGTGTTGGAGCCAGAGGTTAACAGTGGGTGTCTTAAGTCACGGCCCCCACCGTTTTTCTTCTGGCTTCAAGCTCACAGAGATCCACCAGTCTCTGCCTCCAGAGTGCTGGGATTACAGGTGTGCACCAGTACACCCAGCAAGCTCCAACTTGTTTTTTGAGACAGTCTCTTGCTGAACCTGGAGTTTACCAGTTCATCTGGACTGGCTGTGTGGTATAAAGATCCTTCTGTCCAGTTCCCAGAGTCACTGATGTGTGCAATTGTCCTTTATATGGATGCAGGAGACCCAAGTTTAAGTCCTTATGCTTGCCCAGCAGGCACTTTATGAGCAGTCATCTGCTCATCCCCAAGCCCAATTCCCTTGTTGGCCTTGTTGGTTCAGCTCTGTAGAGCTGAGCACGATCTTAAACTCCTGCTCCTGCCTCCCCTCCCAGTGTAATACAGCGTGGGTACTGCAGGTGTATATTGCCATCATGTTCCGCTCATGCTCCAGCCTAGGACAAGCTAGGCAAACTCTCAACCAACTGAGTGGCCCCACACTGCCCCTCAGAGGCACACTTCATTCTTTTTGTTCATCCAGAAAACAGTTCAGGGAGTCAGGTACTGTCCTAGAAACCTAAGATTATTCACTAAAGCAGCAAAATCCCTGTTCTCAGAATTTGCATGGTTATGCAGCAGGGAGTATGAAAGGAAGAAAGAAGATGGGAAGGGGACTTCAGGACCACTGGCTGTTGGGAAGGCCAGACTTGGGTAGGCTTTTCTGAGAATCTGAGACTTCAATAGACTTAAGGAAATGAGGGAAGTGGCAAATGGATGTCTGTGGTAAATGTCAGGTGGAGGGCACAATAGAGCAGAGGCCTGAAGAAGGCAAGAAGAGTCAGGGAATAGACTGATTATGTGGGCCTGGAAGGACCCTTGAGAACAGTCGCCTTCACTCTGACTGCCACAGGGACATTCCAAGGTCTTGAGCAGGAAGTAGGCAAGGTTGCATTCCCAGGCTGCTGGCTGAGAATTGGTTATATGACCCACTATATTAGTTAGCTTTATTTATACTATGTATTTTATTATTATTATTATTATTATTATTATTGATTAGGGTTTTGGTGGTGGTGGTGGTGGTAATTTGTTTTAAGACAGGGTCTCCTGGCCATTCAGTCTTCAATTCACTGTATAGCATTGAGTTTAAAGGTTAAAAGTTTAGGGGGCTAGAAGAGATGGCTCAGCAGTTAAGAGCACTGGCTGCTCTTCCACAGGACCCAGGTTCAATTCCCAGCACCCACATGGCAGCTCACAACCGTTCGAAACTCCAGTTCCAGGGAATCTGACACCCTCACACAGGAAAAACACCAATGCACATAAAGTAAATACTTTTTTTAGAAAGTTATAGGTTTAAAGAGAAGCTATGAAAGATGACAGGGGATTTCCATACCCAATGATTGAAATGTAAAAGAAGAGACACCTTGGTGGCAGGAAGGGTCAAGAAGTACGTATGTAAGAAGGTGGAGGTGTGTGGAGAAGTTCTAACCAAGGACTGGAGGCTAAGAGGGGTCAAGTATTCAGTTTCAGAATGAACACCCAGGCAGGAGGCTGAATCACAGATGAAACTGCTCAGAATACGCGGACAAAAGTAAAATAGCCAAGAAATAGGTCAAGTGGTTTTATTTACATTTTAGCTGGAGAGGAAAAATGAAGGGATACAAGGTTTGGGTAGCATCAGAAGAATACACCCACCCAGCCCTCGGTAAACAAGAATTCTTCCCTCTGTACCACAATTTGGACAGTATGTGAAAGTGGCAGATTCACCAGTCCCTCTTTCCTATGAGAACAAAAAAGGCCATTTGGAAGTGTCAACTACACAATTGAAACACCATCTGAAGCCAGAGAAAGTAATTCCCTTCTGTGTAACAACCTGACGCTGTTCTCAGCCTGCCAATGCCTTCATGCCCCTTACCCAGAACCAATCCTAAATTCTTGTCTAGGATGAAACTCCAATGTCTAAAGAGGCAGGAAAAAAAGACCTCACAAGACTGAACACAGCACCTGACTTTACTTCCTGCCCTCCAAAGGCACTGATACTACCTAAACAAGGTAAAGATGGGCAAGGGGAGCCCCCCAACTGCTCTCATTTCTGCAGCTTGCTAGCTTCTCTTTACAAATATTTGGGAGGGGTTGGAAAGATGGCTCAGCAGTTTGAGTACTTCCTGCTCGTCCAGAGGAACTGAGTTCAGTTATAGGCGCCCATGTCAGGAGGCTCACAGAATCTGTAACTCCAACTCCAGGCAAACCAACACCCTCTTCTGGCCTCTGAGGGACCTGCACACACCCAGTATCCACACAGAAGCACACACCCAAACACATACACATACAAAATAAGTCTCTTTTTAAAAATGTATGAGGATACATGTACGCCAAAACAAGAGAATGCTACTCATGATCAGAGAGGAACTATAACGCTTAGCCTCTAAGGAAAAGTGGCTGATTGTAAATTGGGCCCTGGAGACTTGTGTCATTTAGATGTTCTCCACAGTGGTTGGGATATTTATTAAATGTTAAATAATTAATAATAGTGCCTTCAAGACTCTCAAAGAATAGATCCTGTGGAGGATCCAGGCATAATTAGGCAAGGGTCTTACTGCCAGCCAACCAGATCTTAGTAGGAAAGAGCATTCACCTTCCCAAGTACTTATTAGTAAAATGGCTGCACTTCTGAATTAACTATCCAAAACTGGATCATAAGGAAATATCCAAAATAGCTATATGTAAGGCAAGGGATATAGCCCAATGGTAGAGCACTTGCCATGGGCTCAATTCATAGACAGACAGACAGACAGACAGACAGACACACACACACACACACTGTAGCATTTCCTAGTATTCACTAGGATTCACATCCTCTTCCCATACTGTGCCAGTGTCCCTCTATAAGCAATAGAATACAGCAGAGGTACGTCACTTTGAGGATCAATACATACAGAGCTGGCTGGAGTCTTGGGCTGTCTTGGATCACCTTCTCTGGCAGAAACCAGTTACTATGTTGTGAAGAACCACATGAGTGAGCCTAGCATTGATGTTAGAGTACTCCCAATCCAGTCTTCAGATGGCGGCAGCCTCCTGAAGGTGTGACTCAGAACTACCCAGGTTCCTGACTCATACAGTATTTTCAGGTGCTAAATTCTGAAGTAATTTCTTTTTTTGTTTTGTTTTGTTTTGTTTTTTCGAGACAGGGTTTCTCTGTGTAGCCCTGGCTGTCCTGAAACTCACTCTGTAGACCAGGCTAGCCTCGAACTCTCGAACTCAGAAATCCGCCTGCCTCTGCCTCCCAAGTACTGGGATTAAAGGCGTGCGCCGCCACCACCACCCGGCTGGCTTCTGAAGTAATTTCTTACACAGCAGTAAGGAAATAATTCAATTTCCTACAGAGAACCGAGACAGCAACCAAAGGTTTAACCCTAGTTCCCATTCTACATCCATTCAAAATCAATTTCTCTGCTAATAAGAAAAAAAAATTATCATTCAGGCATTCAAAGATCACGTTTTGAATGCCAAACACAAGGAAGGGTTTGCAAGCTGCCTATGTTTCCACATAGTCTAAAACCTATAAAAAGCAATGGCCACAGAGGTTCTGGTGTGGATGCAAGAACATATTTTGAGCTGTTCAATTTATCCATTTCATTAGCTTATGCTTTATAAGTCCCTATAACTCCCTAGTCATTCTGAGAGCTCAAGGCCAACAAGTCAAGCTCTCTCATAGGAAATGTTACCTCCCATATGCCCTCCCATCTAAGGGAAGAAGAAAAGTTAAGTCTCCCGATCCCATTAATTCCATTAATACTAGAGAAGGGAAGAATTCATTTACTATTTTAGTAGGAGGAAGAGACCCTGATCTCAAGTGCTAAGAACAACTGGAATGTCTGCAACTCATGACTAAGTGACAGCAGGAGCGCAGATACAATCGCTGCTCAAAATCCTGGTCACAGCCGAAATGGCGATGGGGGCGGGGGAGATGCTGTCTCTTCCTCCTCCTCACTGGACTTTGCTGTCTCTCAAAGCAGCAGGAGAGTAGTATAGCACAACGACCAAGAGCCTTCCTCTGCACAAAGAAGGTCAAAGGGCGAGCTTGCTTTCCGTCAACCACAAAACCAGCCACGGCCAAACCTAATCAATGTGGTCCGCTATAGGAGGTGAATGAAGCCCTAGACAGAAAACCAGAGACTCTCCTCCAGCCGCCGCTGAGGTCGGAGTCAGGTGACTCCTGGGGCAAACAGCAAACCTAAACAAAGATCACTCCCCACATGACCGACTGGGGAGAAGAAGAGTAAAGCTGCTCAGACCCACCCCGGAAAGCCATTAGCCATTAACTCTTGCTTTTTTGCTGTCCGGAGAAACCGGAGGCGCCAACAAGTTATTCCTATTCTGCAGCTCCTCTTCAAGGAATGCACCTAGAGGGGTGAGGGACCTCCTTCCTGGGACACAGAGGCCAAGTACCGCAGCACACGCCCGGGTCCCCACATGCTCTCTGCAACCCGAACCCCTCCCCACCAGCTGTCACCCGCGCTCGGGGCCACACTCAGCCAGGGAAACACATGCCCTCTGGCCGCTCAGCCTGCAGCTGCGACCCCGCGGGGGCAGTGAGAGGACACGCTTTGACCAAGGACTGTTGGGGCCAAAGCACGCCTAATCTCCGGGAAAAGAAAGCCAGGATGAGCGCGGCCCAGTGTCAGGAGTGGTCCTGGACCCATCCTCCTCTCCCGCTCCGCCCCAGGAGTCCCCAGCCCCGAGCGCCCCACCTTGTCACCGAAGCTGCGGGCCATCAGTAGGTCCGGGCTGGGCGTGCTGTCGCCTCCCACGGCCTCCTCGCTGCTGGAGCCGGCTAGCGGGTGCGGCATGTCTCGTAAGGACTGGGGCCCCGTGGATGGCAGGGCCTTGGGGGGCCCGCCCGCCATGGCGCGCAGCGCTCAGGACCCGCCGCCGCCGCCGCTTACTCCCGCAGCTCTCGGCCCCACTCGGCCCGAGGCCCTGCACTAGCCGGTGAGGGCCGCCTCTGCCCGCTGCTTCTCCTGTCCGTGAGGCTGAGCTTCCGCGAGCGACACACCGCAGCTCCGTGGGCTAAGCCGCGGTGAAGCCCCGCACCTCCGGCCCTGTGCCCTGCTAGCAGCGCCACGCCGCCCACGGCTCGCAGCCCCGCCCCCGCGGAGCCTGTGCCCGCCGGGAGGGAGGGCGGGACGCAGAGTGGGGCGGGGCTTGAGGGAGGAGGCCCGCCCCGCCCACCTCCCAGCAGGAAGTGCGCCCACTGGCAGCTGCGCTGGGGGCTCAGAAGGCACCCGCGTGAGTTAGGGGCTTCCAGCCACAGTACACACGCAGAGAGAAATAAAATATAATAAATATAAATACGTGGAGCATATCTTAGTAACGTAAAGGATTACGTGGCTCAGAAGAACTGGAGAACATCGAGTGGGAAAACTAGAAGGATATTTAAAGAGGCAGTGTGATATGTCTTCAAATTCACACTGAAATCTCCATACAGGCTGGCTTCTGCAGCTAAGCTGAGTTTATACAAGGCGAAACCTCAGAAGCGTGAGCATCCGTAAATACCGTGTGCTACAAATGATTTATGGTCCTTACGTGCACACTTAGCCAGTCTTCTGCAAGAACCGTGAGGTTCTAGTTGCTTTTCATGCATTGATGGTTCCTATACTGGCCTCGGGCAGAACAGAATTTTCGGCTTTTATTTGCTAGTATAGACAAGGGTTTACTTCCAGCTCTTTAAAGTATATGTTTGTCCCTTGTCACTGGCGCTTCTGTCTCGAAGGCCAAGTTAGAGAGACATCTGCCCATCTAGCAAACACTTAGGTACTGTGTGTGGCTCACTGTGAAGAAACCCATTTTTTCCAATCCTCAAACTTCTTAGGTTTGTCCAGTTTGCCTGTTAAAAAACGGTGACAAGTTTTAACACCGTGATTCACAAAGGGCTGTCTATCTATCACACTTTCTCTAGAAACAAAACATGTAGAATGCAGAATTGAAACCAACCCAAAATAACTACCAGAGTCTCATGTAACTTCAGTGACCCCCTTCTGACATAGTCCAAAGACTTGAACCCTTAGTTCCATAGCTGTTGTCTTTTATCTCCTTCAGACCAGTCTACCTTGGTTGGGGAAAATAATATTGAAAGGGCACTAAACAGCAATTTTAAATGCTGCATCTGTCTCATGGGAGTGCTAGGGTCTGAACCTCTGAGTTGTGCAAGTTGTCCCTTCATTTATTATTTTAGGAGCTGCCTAAAGCTGTTACATATCCTATTATCTTCATTAAAACAGACGATACAACTATAACTAAAAATGACTGATCTATAGATGCCTGGCAGATTTTCTTCTTGAATATTGTTATTTATTTAACCCTCAATGGTGCTCTTAAGATTTCACAGAAGTGGGGCTGAAGAGATGGCTCAGTGGTTAAGAACACTGCTCTTATAGAGGGCCTAGATTTGACAACAACCATAAAATAAAAATAAATATGAAAAGAAAACTCCATAAAAGAGCAAATTACATGGCTCAGTAGGTAAAAGAACTTGCCACCTATGCCTGAGGATCAGAGTTTGGTCCCCAGAACTCATGTGAGTCGCCAGATACAGAGGCATTCTTTGATCCCAGCACTCCTATGGTGATATGGAAGATGGATGGAAGAAAATAACCCAGCTCTCTGGTCCGCTAGTCTAGAGTACTCAGTGCTGCAGCATCAACCGAAACATAAGAAACTGCCTCAACGAGGTGAAATGAAAGAACCAATTCCCCAAAAGTTGTTCCTCTGACCCCACGCATGTGCAGGCAGTAAAATAAAACTGTCTCCCAGCCTGCAAAGTAGGGAGAGGGACGCAGAGGGCCGTACATGAGACAGCTGTGGAATTAGATGGGACTCCCGAGGTCACGGCCTTTGTTGAGTGTTAGGAGCTCCTTAAATGTTAACTCCCTTCCTTTTCCCTCAGATTTTCTCTACTATTCTTATGAGACAACAACCACAGAATATCCATAATTATATGATGCATTCCAAATTCCATTTCCTTCGTTTAAGTCAGAATGAGACTCTTTTATGCCTCCCCACAGAGGAAGGGGAGGAAGGGGAGGGAGATTAGGAGGAGAGAGAGAGAGAGAGAGAGAGAGAGAGAGAGAGAGAGAGAGAGAGAAACCAGGGCTCCTAAAGGACCATATGAAAGTTTCTTTATTTACTTTCTTTATTTACTTTTACTTTCCTGGTCTGTCAGAGGCATCTGGCCACAATGATCCAAGAAGAGGTAGTCATCAAAACTAAAGAAAGTAAACTAGGGGAAATATTTTGGTGGGAAGTTCCAGCATTCATTTTCAGCTGAGGCCTGCCTGTCCTGTCCACCATTTCCTGATTCATTTCAGTGCTCCTTGCGGTGAGGAATAGTTCCTGAAATAACCTAAGTCCCAGAGCACGTGACTCTGTCTAGCACAACACGGTGAAGAAGCAAGGTTCTCAGAGCAAAAGGCTGTGATCTTGGTTGGGATTTATGAAGGGAAATTTGAGTTTTTAAGACTGAGTTCTGTGAAACACACAGGAGTTTGTGGATGTCCCCAGTGTCATGACAATCCCCAAACATCTTGGAAGCTGCACATTCCCAAAAAAGCCTATCTCTGTTGAGAATTCCACAGAGTAAATTTTTACAGCTTTGTGGTGTTGGAATGTTGCAGATCATCTTTGTCTATTTTTAGCCCCCTAGTCATTTATTGCTGGGCGTGGTAGCACATACAGTCTTTAGTCCCAGCAGAGACAGGTGGGTCTCTGAGTTCAAGGCCAGCCTGGTCTACAAAGAGAGTTCCAGAGCAGCCAGGGCTACACAGAAAAACCCTGCTTCTCTCTAAAAAAAACAAGAAACAAATTACTAACCTCTGTATCTGACCTAACTTCCTTTTGATTATCAAGTAAAATCTTTAGGATGTGTTAACTCATCAAACCACTAGTTTCACCAACCCAAAAGCTGAAAAAACAGTCATCAGAGAACATCTGAGGCCTATAACAAAGATGTCCCTAACTTTAATATTGTGATATCACTACCAGCTTGGCGTACATAAGTGAACTCCAGGACAGCCCGGGTTACATAGTGAGTCACTGTCTCAATTTCGTGTATATATAATTAATTTCCACAGTAAGACATGTCATTCAGAGTACCCTCAACCTATGGTATTCCTTCTCTCAATTTAGTGTATCTATAATAAACCTGCACAGTAGGACATGTCATTTAGAGTGCCCTCAACCCATGTTCCTCAGGACACGGCCAAACATACTTGGTCCAGGATAAACTATCTACCTTTGAAGCAAGACCCAGTCACATGGGCCCTTTCCCATGACAAGGAATGGCAGGCACTTAGCCTGCGACCTATCAGGAGATAGGGCCCTGGGCCCCACAATTTAGTATTTTGCCAAAGAGGAACCCTGTCATCCTTACTAGCAACTCTGTCAGGACTACATGTGAGTGCTCAATGCCAACAAGGCATTGTCCCACTTTCTCCCTTGGTCCAGCAGGTGCTTAGGCACTCTTGGTGTTTGTATTAGCTGCTTCTCCGCCTCTGGCTTTTAATACAATCATAGCTTTATTCTATATGGCATCCCAAACCCTGCCTCAAAATAATGCCACCACTTCTAAAGTGGATGGCTAGTGAGGACAAAGGAGGTTTTCAGAGAACATTCAGAGTGACATATAACAAACCACAGAGGGCTGTCTCAAACAAGGGGGGGGGTACCCAGCTGAGAAGACACAACCCCAACAGAGAGAAATTTGTGTGGACAGTTTAATTCAGCTGGTGATGTCCCCAGAAAGAAGCAAATTTGCTTGAAGCCAGAATTCGAAGAGTTTTTCAAACAAGAAATTAGATGGTGCTTCAGAGGCAGCAGCTGAGTTTTGAGGTAAACGACAGGATTATTTTACCAGTCCATATCAAAACACTCTGTCGTGGGGGAGGTCAAAGTACATGCTGTACAGGCATGAAGTTCAAATCCAGCAATGCCAGATGTAGGGGCTGGAGAGACGGCTCAGTAGTTAAGAGCACTTGCTGCTCTTGCAAAGGACCCTGGTTTGATTTGTACACCCATGTGGCAGCTCAAAACTACCTATAGCTCCAGTTCCAAGGGACCTGATGCTCTCCTCTAGTCTCCATAGGTGCCAGGCACTCACATACATACAAACATAAATAAATCAGAAAGAAAGAAAGAGAGAGAGAGAGAGAGAGAGAGAGA